ATCACAAGGATATAATGTACAGCATAGGGAATATAGAAAATAATATTGTAATAACTAAAGGTGGCAGATGGTTACTAGACTTATTATAGTGATCACATAGTAAGGTATATAAATGAGGAATTTCTATGCTGTACACCTGAAACTAATATAATATTGTATATGACTTTTAATGAAAAATGAATTTAAAAAATAATCTTAGTGTCAGTTTCTACTTTGCTATCTTACTCTCTAACAAATGTTTTGATATCTCCTTGTGGTTCTTTTCTACTTTTTACAGCCTATCTGGAAAAAACAAACAACTAACATTCCCTAAGGCATTTCTCCTACTTAGCCAAGATCTACTTCAAGTTTCAGTTCCTACAATCTGCTAATTATTGAAAGGGAAAGAAAAAGATGAAAGAAGTAAATGTTGGAACTGTCCATCTGAGAAAAAGAAAAATCCATGCTGTTTCCACAGAGTTTAGACTTGTCAGTGAAACATCGAAGAGAATGTGAAGACTGGCATCCCCCTTGCTATTATAATGCCACTTCTCTTAAAAGAGAAGAAATTTTGCCCTGGTGGTGTGGCTTGGTTGGAGCATCTTCCAGTGCACTGAAGGTTCTCAGATTTGATTCCCAGTCAGGGCACATACACAGGTTGCAGGTTTGATCCCCAGTTGAGGCGCATACAGGAGGCAACTGTGCAATGTTTCGCTCTCACATAGATATTTCTCTCTCTCTCCCTATTCCTTCCTCTAGGTCTGAAGTCAATGAGAGAGAGAGAGAGAGAGAGAGAGAGAGAGAGAGAGAATAGAAATTTCTATTTAAACTTAGAAAATCTAAGTTCCTGATTCAGTAGAAGGGACAGATCCAAAAAGTGAAAGAATTACTAAAAATATATTTGTAGGGATGCTTCACATGGAATCTTAGGGACACCTATTGGAAGTAGAGAAACAACTTTAGAAAGGATTAGCAATAATCAACAAAATTAGAGTAAATTTTCAGACATACACAGAGTTACAGGAACATATGGGATATAACAGTTTCAAATTGTTTTTCAAACACCTTCTTTCATGCTGACTTTGCAAATGGAGTTTTAATTTCTCCAATAGAGCATTCTCCTGTTAACAAAAGTCTATGTGAAGAAACTAATAAGAGGATTTTAACCTGAAAAAATGAAAATTTATATAACAGTATTGGCATTTAAAACCAAAAAAACCCAGTAGCTATAGTTTAGAACCATATATAATTTATTAGCAACAGTTCTTCAAACTTTTAAAAAAATATTATTACCACTAAGAATGATTTTGGTAACTTTCCACTTAAATGTTGCACATTTCAAAATGTTCAATCAAGAAAATGATATGCTTACAAATGCAACAATCACAAAAAGAGGGTTAGCAACCCCAAGTTAATGAATGATGAACAAGAACCACTCAAAGTTCTGGAAGGCTGTTTTTACACATTTTCCCACTCCAGCTTATCTTGTTCACTTAACCTGGATGCTTCTAGTTCTGTAGAAGAGAGAGCATAGAGCAGTGTTTTACTGGGTGTGGTTTTCGATCACCTGTCACTGACTCACCTAGGATACTTTCTACAAATACAGATTCCAACACACCATCTCCAGAAACCCTAAGTCAATGGCTCTAATGAGTCCAGATAGCTGAATTTTAATAATGGCCTTGGAGACAGTAATCTATCTCTCTTCTTCTTATGATGCCATTTAAATCTAAGGAGATTAACTTAATTACCTGAGCCAATTAACAGCAGATCAAGAATGAAAACACAGAACTGGCACCGCCCAGTCCAGTTTTCTTGGTTCTAAATGCGCTCCCAAGCTTCTTTTGTAATAGCCCATCCACAGATGCTGCAACAGCTACCCTCCCACCTCTATCCTCTGTTTATTCTCTCTAGTCACCTCCAAAGTACATTAGTAAGACTATGTACAAATAGAGAAAAGGAAAGTGAAAACTGTTCATGTTAGGGTGGTGTAAGTCAATGTTCTTTATTTTTTTATTCTAGTCAAACTATAAGATATGTGGGCAATAAATTCACTGTCTTAAATTTTTTTTAAATGAAAATAATTAAGCTTGGATACATGGATCTAAATGAGAGCCGATACAAATTAAAATACAGAATCAACACCCCTTACATTTTTATGATGAGTTTTTTCCATCATCTTTTTAAAAAAACCACAAGATTCCTTTGTATAGTGCGTGTATAAAACTTTTAGAAGTTACATCAAACTATTTTATTATCTTTTAGTACTTTTCCTAAAACACTAGCTTAAAGCCCTGCGCTTTCAGAAGAAAGACTCCTTATTTAGCATGTCACCCAAATTCTTCACACAATTTGCTAAACCATGTGAGCAAACCAATGGGCAACTCTCCTCTGGGGGAATGGCATGCCCTACGATGTAAAAATAAATACAATTGGAAGAGTATGTCAGGGCCTAAACATAGAGGGCCATCCTTAATTTATCCAGCCAGTCTTTAGCCAACTAGTTCTTTAGACTAAGTCCCTTAAGACCTGGCTCCATGCAACATGATGAATCTGATATAATTTTTTTAAAAGAGCACACATACAAACAGTAATATGCACTTTGCAAGGGTGTGTGTCTATGTGTGTGTGTAACATACACACATGTTAATGCATTAAAAAGGACTTGAAATATACATCCATCAAAAATAGGTTTATTGTCCTGCCAGTGTAGCTCAGTTGGTTGAGCATCGCCCCATGCACCAAGAAGTCACCAGTTCGATTCCAGGTCAGGGCACATGCCCAGGTTGTGGGCTCAATCCCTGCAGGAGGCAGCCAATCAATGTTTCTCTCTCATTGATGTTTCTCTCTCTCTCTCTCTCACCCCCCCTTCTTCTCTCTCTAAAAATCAATAAAAACATATTTTTTTAAAAAGAGGTTTATTTCTCAAAAGATGAGGAGGGGTCCAGTATTAATGCTTTAATTTTACGGAGGATATACTCATTATTGGTGTACATGGAAGTGTTCTAATTCTCGGACTTCATTAGATGCCCATTTCTGCACCTCCCTGTAACTCCTACACAAGCCTGACAGAGGTCACCATCTATCAGGGACACTGGTCTTCTCTGACTTTTCCTCCTGGAAGACTTGTGTCCTCCAGTCAGCGCATCATTTTTCGAGGGCCTGGCATGGCATAACGCTTACTGAATGCACACTGTGAACCTTCCAGGCAACTAAATTATTCAAGGAAAGAATCTCCGTCTATTTCTAAAAGGTCACAGGCCACAAATTTTCTTTTCAACATACAGTTTAAAAAGATCGTTTGCTATAGCTGCTAAGAAGCTAGACTTAGAGTTACAAAGTTCTGGTATTAAATTAAACTCTGCATAATGAATTGAAATCCTTACCAAGTTACTTAATCCTCATTTTCCTCAGCTATAAAACATGAATAATGATATCTTCCTCCCATATTTGTGGGTAAGATTAAAGGGAAAGTTTATAAATTAATTAGCACAGTAGCTGGTACTCAACAAATGGTAGTCATTATTATCCTTTTTTATACTCAAATGCTAATGTTAAAGCAAAAATTTCAGATATTTCTTGCTAATCAGAAAATATCAGTAAAACCTTAAAAGCATTGTACTTTACTTCTAGAGAATAACAAACTCAGACATTCTAACGAATGTAAGCAATTAAACTAATAATTTGAAGCCCATCAGGTCTGTGCAACTAACAGATGAATACCTCAATTATTTTGTGGTACTCATTTAACAAAGAAACTTCCATGCTGATATATGCAAATTATGCATTTTTAACCACCATTCCAATAAGAAAAGTTTTAATCATCTTACTTCACAAACGGAAAATGTTCATATTGAGTTCATACATATTATTAAGCTGCACATCACTATTCTTGAGAAATAGGCTAACTATCCAAGTTATTAATATGCCAACAGTGTTCAACCGATGCTGTCCACAGTTAATTGGCTAAGAAATCTTATCCCAAAAAATGTAATGAGTAAGTTCGCACTGAAGTTCCAGAGAATGCCTTGAATAAAGATCTAGAGTTCATGTTTTTTAAAACTATATGTTTTGAGTTGATTTCACTCTTTTTGTTATGAAAACAGTTAGCATTCATAGTTCACAATATCATAACCCATTATACTATATCATACAATGAGTTCATTTTAGATCAGCTATCCAAAACATACCGTTTAATTCCACAAATAATTACTAAGCATTTAATATATTCTAAGCTGAAAGATTAAGTAAGAATTAATTCCCAAAAAGGGATAAGGAATTTTCTTATACATATTAAAAACAAGATATGTTAGAGAAAGGGAAGTCTACAGAATCAAATGAAGTTAATGAAATTTATTAAAACTTTATTTTAACATCAGTCTCTCATAACACTGAAATTTTCTATTGAGTCCTTCCATATTAACCAAATTCAATAACAAGTTAAGCTCATTTTATATATATATATATATATATATATATATATATATATATATATATGATATGTGTGTATTTATGTGCATATGTGTGAATGCGTGTATATCAATCACTTGTCTCTAGTAAATTATTTACTCTGCGAGCAACTTATCTGCTCAAAACAAAAGCCAAAATGCTGTAAAGTCAAGAAAATACGTGCTTACTCTATAATTTTGTCACAAAAACAAAAGAAACACAACAGGTGCCTATTTCATCAACAGCTGTAATGTGTAATTTGTTCTTAATTACTTTCTCATGTAGTTTTATAATGTTACTTCAGCTGAGGAATACTTTTTAAAAATTATTTTCAATGATTCTATTCCTCAGTCCCTTAGAAAGGTGATGTCTAGTCTCAAATCTAATATAGATGACATTTTTTGCTGCTAAATGAACTGAGAAAATTCAACAAAACAACTCTCTTTTGTTATATTTAGTGGAATACTCAAGGCATAAGCAAGACTGTAAGTAAAAACACTAATAAGCCCAACAGAGCACAGCTGCTAATGTAATCAGGGACTGCAATTTGCAGTCGCTGTAACATAGCTTACCTGTTCGTTTTTGCAGAGCCACACGCTGTTTCCACTTAACACAGTAAAAATTTTGGCTTTATACCCTCTCAGTTCAAGATATCCACATTTCTCAGGCGCAGCAGCTGCTTGAGACTGCGAGGAGGGGGACTGCGATTTCAGTGCATTCAGTAGTATGCTGACCCAGTCATTTCTCTCCTCTGAAAATAAAGATGGGAACACAATACATGTATCCATACTTACATACATTATACACACATAGGAACAGGGACCGGGAATCTACTCTCTCTACAACAGATAATGCAAAGATTCTTTCCCACAAGTACACTGCGCATGCTGTTGCAGGCGGGGCCAATACTCAATTCTGTAAGGAAAAGCAAATAACAAACACTACTCCGTTGTCCTACACCCAGTGACACCGGCTCCGCCTTGGAGCTTGTCAGAAATGCCCAATCTCAGACCCACCCCCAGACATGATGAATAAGAATCTCCTTTTAGCCCGGCCGGCGTGGCTCAGGGGTTGAGCATCAACCTATTAAACAGAAGGTCATGGTTCAATTCCCAGTCAGGGCACATGCCCAGGTTGTGGGCTCGATCCCCAGTGTGGGAGCTTTCAGGAGGCAGCCGATCAATGATTCTCTCATCATTGATGTTTCTCTCTCCCCCTCTCCCTTCCTCTCTGAAATCAATAAAAATATATTTATTAAAAAAAATAATAATCTTCCTTCTAACAAGGTCCCCAGGTGACCTGTATCCATGTTCATGTTTAAGAAGCACTCTTTTAGATTATTTGTGAGATTGATTTTTTTCTTTTAATAGATTTTGCAGCATCTTTTCCTTTTCTTGAATAATTTCACCTGCATCCGCTGCTACAGGTCTTTCCAATAACAAATATTTATTGAGTGTCTATGCACCATTCCTTCTGAGAACATGCTCTGCCCTAGATGTGGCCCTGCTCAAAGTAGAATATTTCAGATGGGAGAAAGACAAAAGGGGGATGGGAGAGGAGAGGAGAGGAGAGGAGACAAATTGGCACTTGTAATTATGCTAGAATGTAAGTAAAAGTTAACAGGAATTCCCTCAAACCTCAAATTAGTTCTTGGGGTGTTCAGGAATGCCAACTATGGTATACTTCTCAAAAAAGGAAATTATTCAAAAACTCAACAGGAAGAGACTTAATAGTCTCCAGACTACTGGACTTAGTAGTAGGCATAAATATTAACAACAAAGAATGTTTTACACTAGGTCAGTGGTCGGCAAACTCATTAGTCAACAGAGCCAAATATCAACAGTACAACGATTGAAATTTCTTTTGAGAGCCAAATTTTTTAAACTTAAACTATATAGGTAGGTACATTGTTATTAACTTAATTAGGGTACTCCTAAGGCTTAGGACAGTGATGGCGAACCTTTTGAGCTCAGCGTGCCAGCATTTTGAAAAACCCTAACTTAACTCTGGTGCCGTGTCACATATAGAAATATTTTGATATTTGCAACCATAGTAAAACAAAGCCTTATATTTTTGATATTTATTTTATATATTTAAATGCCACTGAACAAAAAAAAATCAACCAAAAAAATGAGTTCGCGTGTCACCTCTGACACGCGTGTCATAGGTTCGCCATCACTGGCTTAGGAAGAGCCATACTCAAGGGGCCAAAGAGCCGCATGTGGCTCGCCAGCCGCAGTTTGCCGACCACTGCACTAGGTTATTACTATGCAAGGGCTGTGTGACAGATTAATAACGGAATCTAACCAAGTTTAAATGGACCCTTACTTTTGATATAATCTGATATGATAATACAACATTTTTAAAAAATCCCTCAAAGTAGCCCATGATCAATTTTAGGGAAGGCAGTATTGCACACAGGGCTTGTTCTCGAAATCAATAACCTACCATTCATACAAATATTTACTGAGTGCCCACCACAGTCCAAGACCTACTCTGCACACCAGGAATGGAAGACGGAACAAGACAGATCATGGCCTTACTCTGCTGGAGTTCACACTCTGTGCAAAAAGGAAGGCGATAAAATATAGACAAGTCTGTTACACAGTGAGGAGTGCGACAGGATAAAATAAAGAATGAGATGAGGGATACAGGGAAGCGCTATTTTGTATAGACTAATAGAAAAAGCCTCGGAAGGTGATGGTGGAGCAAAAGCCTAAAGGAAGTGGGAATAACAGGCCACGTCAGGAGGATGGCTGCAGGAGGAGCATTCTGGAATTTAAAAAAAATAAAAGCAGCAAGTGTAAGACCCCAAGGCAACAGCAGGTTTGGCAAGTTAAGGAGAGCACAGGAGATAAGGACAGAGGGACCAGGGCCACCCACGTGGGCTTTTGGGCATCCTATGTGCTTTACTCTCAGTGAGATGGAAAGACACAGACCACCGGGAGTGGAATGCCATGACCTGACTTTCTTGTTGAGTGACTGCTCCGACAGCTGTAGTGAACATATGACTGTGGTCGATCAAGGGCGGTTAATACAATGATCCAGACACACGTGGTGGCTTGTACTAGAGTGGAAGTGGGGGAGGTGTTGAGAACTGGCCTGCATACAGACATATTTCCAAACTCAAACTGATAAGATCTGCTGATGAACTGGATGTGATATATGAGAGAGAAAAAGATAGGACAATGACTCACAGTGTGTGGCCGGCTGTATCATGAGAAGCCTATCAAAGGATGCAACAGAGACCTGTTAATCGCCCGGCTCTCCCTCCAGGGAGTAAATGTTCCATGCCTTGCTTCTGAAACATTGGCGATTTCGAAACAGGTAAATCTGCTTGCCCAAAACAACTAAGGGGAATTTATGTCTTGTAAGACCAAGTGTTCTTTAAAAAGAAAAGAACAGGGAGGGAGCTTGGCGAGGGGGGAGGGGGCGGGTAGGGGGGAGCCTTGCAGTATTGCAGTGGCCACTGGAGGGCTGTGTGGCATAGTCTAGATTTCTAGACTCTAGAAACATGGCTGGGAGAATGACACTTCCTGTCTCCCAGGAGTCCAGAACGGGCGAAGATGGATAGGAACACGGGACCTGCATCTGAGAGCCGGTGCTGCACGTGGCCTGGGAAGGGGAAGGACCCCCGCAGAATTCTTAAGTCCCCCTTTAACGCTGAGAACTCGCACTCAAACATCACCTGCTTTTTGAATGTGTGCAGTAACACATCTGCATGTGTCCACAGGGCCAAGGGGATACAGACTAAATGAAGAGATCATTAGCTTCTATGACCAGTGCCCATGGCTCTGTTTGAGGACAAAAACAATCAGACTACATTTTCTATATGAGAAAGAGCATTTTTAAAATGTTATTATTTCAACTAAGAGAATGACAGTATGGCACTAGGCAACCGGGGGGAATTGAGCCTTTGAAAAGTGTGGGGAAAAGATGCCAAATTGTAACCCCGTCTCAGCAGGGGGCTCTGCCGCAGTTTGGAAGGAGTGACACTGGTTTCAGGGGAGACGGGAGCTGCTGTATGTAGGTCACTCAGAACCTTCCTGCCCAAAATGAAGAATTCAGCTCTGTTAGAATAGGAAACCATTTCCTCTTTCTGTGCCAAATGTTGGTCTTGTATGATGAATAGATTGAAGCAAAGTTTAATTTGGCTTAAAATTCATTAAGTCAAATATTTCATAAACCATATTTCATTTGATTGATTTCTCAGTTCCCACAAAATAAAAAGTAATCATTTGTATACATGGAAGGAAAACAGCACTTAATGAAACACATTTAGTATCCTGTTGAAAGTTCCATACTAAAGATATGGACACATATATAGTGTTTATGTATATGTACACACACACACACACACACACACACACACACACATCTCTACATCCACTTATCTTTATTTTAATTTTATTTTTTAAATATATTTTTATTGATTTCAGAGAGGAATGAAGAGGGAGAGAGAGAAACATCAATGATGAGAGAAAATCACTGATCAGCTGCCTCCTGCACACCCTCCTACTGGGGCCCATAACCCAGGCATATGCCCTGATCAGGAATCGAACCATGACCTCCTGCTTCATAGGTTGATGCTCAACCACTGAGCCACTGTGACCGGCTACATCCACTTATCTTTAAAAATGTGACTTGTTACTCTGTAAAAATGACTTCCATTGAAAATTACCTTCAGTAATTCTATGTGAATAGAATTTTCACTAAAGCAGTATTTTCACGCTTTCAAAAATTAAAGACCTAAAACTTATTTAACAAATAATTTGTATCAAAGTTAATGAAATTCTTATATTAAGTTCATATCACAAAGATGCTCTATGTATCACAGATGGATGCAAGGGTCAACTATAAACACGTAACTTTTAAATGTGTGGGTTGACAAATTCCACTTCAAGAAAATGTGTCTGTTTAACTTTTAACTGCAGCAAGTAAACGTGGCTGAACAGTTTGGAAACTTCACTTGGTATGTCTCTCTTAAAATGCAGGCTGCGTGGCATATGTGGAATTCACTCTGACAGGCCAAGGGGAAGGTGACAAGCACCTCAAAGACACAGGCAGTCACCTTCGGGGCCGTGGAAACCAAAGCAGAAGGAAAGAGCACCATGAGAGCCAGTCAAGAGTAGCAACGCCATGTGTTTGAAGAAATAGCCTGAGAGAAAACTATGATTTCAGAGACAAGTTCCATATCGAGTATCACAACTGTGGATAACTTTCTGAATTTTAGGCTACGAACCACAAAAAGCAGCTTCTCACATAAGCAGCAGGTCTATAAAAAGTGCTCCAGGACAGGACAGGGGTCGGCGAGCTTTCTTTCTGTAAAGGAGCCGACAGTAAATACCTCAGGCTCTCCTAACCATACAGGCTGGGCTGCAACAGCTCAACACTGCCACTGAGGCACAAACAGCTGCAAGATGATATGTCAGGGAATGACGGTGGTTGGGATCTGACAAGATTGTGTGCAGGAAAACAAGCCTTGAGCCACACTTAGGCACCTGGGCATGTTGTGTTAACCCCTGCTCTAGGCTAAAGCGCTCAACATTTGTCTAATAGCAAGTAAGAAACACTTTTACATAACATGGTGCAATATTACATGGTGCAATATATGCATCAGTATGTTTCACAATAAATTATTTAGACGTACCAGAAGCGATGTACTTTGGTATTTCTTATTCTTTTTTATGTTTTTTATACCATTAGAAACCACTAAGTTACTCTCTCAAGTGGTGAGTGAGTCACCGTTTGACAAAAGAAGCTCCAGTATAAACAGCAGCCGGGACTTACTCATTTACTGATTATCCCAAGCAATATAGGAAGCTTTCTAGAGATAAATAATATTTATGGAATGTTTTCTATGCGCCATGCCCAAGCGTATGTTCTAGGAATCTAGCAGTTTAAAAATAAATAAATATTGCTCCGTAACAGTTAATATTGTTGTAGTTTATAAAAAGTGAATGCTCATATGTGTAAAATGGAATAATAATAATTGTAATACCTACATATATCATGAAACTATTGTGAAAATGAGTAACTTTTCCATATCACCATTATTCAAATAATTAAGTACCAACAAGTAAAAGTACTTTTAAAAATCTAGTTGAGTTGTAATCTATCCTAAAAGTGGGCTTTAAAATAAGTTAAAATCCTATTTAATTAATGAATAGAACCTTACCTATATTATTTAAAAGTAGTGGTGTTTATAGTAATGATGCTATTGGCAGTCAATCAAAATACACAACAGAAAATTTTAACTCCCCTGGCTCTAGCTCCCTCACTCCCACCCAAAAATTCAGAGAAGGTTTAAAGGTTTAGATTATATTCCCAAACCACCTTTACATCAATTTTCACCATCAAGTGACCTGTGGCAGCTGATGCAGGTGAAAATATTCAAGAAAAAGAAAGATGCTGCAAGATCTATGTTAGAATGACTACTGTGCCTGTGCATTCAGTTAAAGCCTGCTGTAAAACCAACCTTGGAATGGTTAGAAAAATGGATTTTTGCATATTAAATAATTATTTTACATTATTACCCATAAGAGCAGAGATGTCTGTCTACTTTTTTTCATTGCTGTATACTCAGAATTTAGAAGAGTCCTTGTTGACCCTTAGTAGATCCCCACCAAGTATTAGCTGCATGTGAGAATAGTGAATAAATACTTGTCAGCTTGCTTATGGCATTGAAAAAATTAACATAAAATGTAAATTATTTAAAAGTAACATATTTAAAGATTTCTTGAATATCTGCGAGTGTTTTCATAGGAACAAAGAAATAATCTTACCTTCTTTTTCTACTCTAAAAACAAAAGTTCTTTGTGTTGTAACAACCTCAAATTTGTTGTCTCCTTGAACTCGTACTGTAGATATAGCAGAAAGGGGAATTATTCCTTTTGAATACTTCTCCTATATTGGTTAGAGAAAAAGATACACAAAAGAAGACATTAAAATTCTTTTGATCTTATTGGGGGGGAAAAAGAATGGCACAACATTTACAAGTGCTTCTCTTTCACGGTTTCATCTCAATTTTTTAAATGACATACAAATAGTAGATATCCTAATATACACTTAATACTCCCAGAAAAGAAAATATTAAATGTTCCTTTTAAGTAAAATGTCTTTAGTCTCTACATCTGGAATTAAAAGGCAAAGAATGAAATATAAACAATCATACTAGATCAGCAATATATATATAGATAGATAGATAGATAGATAGATAGATAGATAGCTCCAAAAAACAGCAGTTTGGTCTTTAAAACAATCTGGTCAAAATGATTTTATGGTGTTTGCAGGCATCTGCTGGCCATAACAGGTACTGTAACTGAACCATTTCAAAATGACTGCTCTTACATATTATGAACAACAATAATATATCTAAGAAACAAGACTGTTGGATTATATCAATTATTCATATTACTCGATGCTCTGATGATGATGATCTTAATCTCATAACTGCATCACTTCACTTTTTATTCCCCCAATGACAAAAAGAAGGAAAAAATATGGATGTGGCTGTTTGCAATCGATATATACAGATCATAATTTCGCTCAAGAGGGTCATTTTTAAGACTCTTGGTAACTCTGTCTTCTTTCACCTGGACCCTCCTAAACCATTTGGTATAATGACCGCCACACAAACTCAGCTGTTTACTAAGGGTACAATGTTTAATGGACCCTGTGCTCGAAAGAAAATTCTAGGCGAATAATGTATTCAACCATTCCACGCAGAGAACCAAAGACAAGTTCATATTCCCCGAGGGGTAAACTGCGCTACTAGCAGACAGTGAGGGACATTCAGGTAAGGGACAGTCACTGTCAACAACATGGCAGTCCACTGGGAGGTTTATCCTCTGCTAGTTGAGAGGATATATTGTACTACCGTGGTATTTCCTTAGTTCTTTGACAGTTTCTTCTCTTCCAGAGCCTCTGTTCCAATCTCCCATCCCTTTATGGGTCCATCAAAATCCTACCAAAACTGAATGTGAGCCCAGCCGGTGTGGCTCAGTGGCTGAGCACCAACCCATGAACCAAGAGAGTGATTCTAGGTCAGAGCATATGCCCAGGTTGCAGGCACCATCTCCAGTAGGGGCCATGCAGGAGGCAGCCAATCGATGAAGTTCCTCTCTCATCAATGTTTCTATCTCTTTATCCCTCTCCCTTCCTCTCTCTCTAAAAATCAATGAAAACATTTTTTAAAAACTGAATGTGAGCTCTAACCGGTTTGGCTCAGTGGATAGAGTGTCAGCCTGTGGACTGAAGGGTCCCAAGTTCGATTCTGGTCAAGGGCATGTAACTTGGTTGTGGGCACATCCCCAGTAGGGGGTTTGCAGGAGGCAGCTGATCGATGTCTCTCCCATCGATGTTTCTAACTCTCTATCCCTCTCCCTTCCTCTCTGTAAAAAATCAATAAAATATATATTTTTAAAAAAACTGAATTAGATATTTGAACTGTGATTTAGAAAGATGAGTGGGCAACTTCTCAAAAAAAAGAAGAGGGATATCAAGAAATACGTAATTACAAAGTATCTTCTCCTTGTTATTTTCCTTTTACTATCTTCTGTTCTTGCTATTTCAACTACCAATTTCATGCAGAGAATTCCAAAATCTGCTCCTTCCTTCCTTATCCATTTCAGTCAACTTCACTCCCCTATTTCGAGTCATCAACAATGCATGTAACTGTACCATCAGCACCTCAAACTTTAAAACTCAATTATCTCCTCAAATATACCATGCCTCTATATCTGTCCATTGAAATATTACTCTTCTAGTCAATCAGTCTTCAACAGAACAGTCTTTGACCTGTGCTGACCTTTCGACCCACATAACTTGGGCCTCTCCTTTCAGCTACAGTGTCAACTTGTTCCCTACTTCTCCATGTCTCTTTCGACTCTTTCCAGTCACAGTGACCTTCCTGCCGTCCCTTAAACATACCTTTTGCATACTCTGTTTACTCTTCAAGGAATGGTTTTTAAATATTTTTAAAATTAAATTTATTGTGCTAATGAAATTATATAGGTTTCAAGTATACAGTTCTATGATACATCATTTGTATATTGCATTGTGTGCCCACCAGCCAAAGTCAAACCTCCTTCCATCTCCATATATTTGACAACCTTTGCACTCATTACTACCCCGCCCACCCACCCACTCTCTCTGATAACCACCATGCTGCTGTCTCTGTGAGTTTTTGTCTCATTTGTTCATTTGCTGCTTTCAGTTTTATATGCCACATCAGTGAAATTATACGGGTCTTAACTTTTTCTGTCTGACTTATTTCTTGAGGAATGTTTTTCATACCCAACTTCACTAAAGATGCCCCTATGACTTTTTGCATTTCAGCATATTACATGCTCCTGCAGAAAGCCTTTCTGACCAGCCTCCTCTCTCAGTCCTTCGTCCTCACCCAGGCAGGTAACCCTAATTTAAGCTAATAGCAACCTGTACCTTTCCTGTATAACAACTACTAAATATAATTTAAATGATGATTTTTATATTTACGGTGTGATCATTTGGTTAATACAGTCTCCCCAAACAGACTGTGGGTCACACGTCTCTTTTCCTCACCACCTTTCACATAGCAGTTTTGTGTAAATATTTTCTGAATGAATAAATTCTACGTCTAATCAATCACAGTTATACCAAACTCTGACAGCTCATGTTTAATGTTTCTAAAGTCCTTCTCTGAACCCCTCCACTGGCCTATACAGCCCACACCTGGTAAATGAGCGCTTGAGTTACTGCACACCCTCCTGATCTGCCTCCTCACTTCCAGCTTGTCTTCCCTCTAACCTTTCTTGCATCTTGTTCATTTATCGCAGTTGAAAAAAGCACAGATTCACAGAGGAGGGTAAAAAGATGGGTCTAGAAGTTTGTACAGGGTTTTCGTGGATGGCAATGGACAGGAAAATTGAGAGGAAAGAGCAAAAACATGGAGATGAAAACATAGGAAAAACATGCTCCAGGTTCCCCCAGTGTGTCCAGACACTACTGAAAAGGTCACTACCAAGAAATAAGTGAAATGACTGGCTTTAACAAAGGAAACCCAGTAACTATGGGTTACAATGGCAATACTAGGCAATACTAGATCACTAAGTGCTCTAGGAATGACGGGGTTGGGGGGATGTCTCCCTATTGTGAGGCAACCTAAGACCTGGGAAAGGGCACAGCACCCCTGGGAACAGTGTGAGGGCCCCTCTTGGCTGTAAGTGGTTGAGACTAAACAGTCAAAAATCTAGAAGGTCCAAAACATTTATACTTTACCCTTTAGGCGATCCATTCTCGAATTTCAGTTTGCCTAAGAATTAGGTAGAGGAGCTTATAAAGGTATATTTCCAGTGAGATACTGAATAAAATATTACCATTAACTCATTTTTCAGTAGAAAAAAATCAAGTAGCATTATAGAAAAAGAAACAGGAATTTTAAAAAGGAAATTTTTTTTCCCTTCCTCTAGATCTCTTTAAAGAGATTAAAAAAACAAGTCGTTAAAAAAGTAACAACTGACCTACATGCCTGTAATAATGAAATCATATCTAACAAGTATTTATAGAAGAGTAATAGAAAAACAATTATCCAGAAATGATCAAAATGTACTTAACATGCTAAATACAGTGTCACTTTAACCTCAGGAAGTTGTAGTTCCTCTAATGGCTCATTTATAATCTGTCATGGGATGATTACAAGATAAATCTCGTAATTTTTAACACTGTGGAGTTGCATTTATGTTTCTCTTCAAACAACACACGCTAAAGACCAAAGACAATTTAGAAATAACAACTCAGTGACAACAGGCTCAAAATGACTATGTTTTTCAGAGTGTGAAATTTTCTTTAGAAGAAGAAATTTTAAAGCATCCCTTGAGCCTGTAACACACAGATATCTATGTCAAGTTTGTCATTTATCTACCACTTTCAGACAATGAAACAACCACAGGGCAATTCTGCCCACAGCTGAGTGAGAATGGGGGTGAGCTCCATTTCTTGGCAGGTGATAAGATATCAAGGCCATGGGGATGCTGCCATTTTCAGCAACACAATGAAAAGTCCTTGCGGAGACATGATTGAGCAGTGCTGAGAAAAGTGGAAGGAAACCAGGGAAACAGGCAACTCTGTGCACTGCCTCCTAAAAGCCCAATACATGCTCCCCAAGTGCACATGTAAACATTGAAGGATGCAACTACTCAGTGCACATGACCACTGAAACTGCACACCTACTGACACAGTAGCTAAGACTGCATCTATGCCTTCTGCTCCCTGGTCCTGAAATACCCTCTTCACAGTTCATCTCTTCTGCCTGAAAGGTCACAACAAAAACTGTGTCCCCTGCCTGGCTGGTGTTGCTCAGTGGCTGAGCATTGACCTATAAACAAGGTCATGGTTCAATTCCTGGTCAGGGCACATGCCCAGGTTGTGGGCTCAATCCCCAGTAGGGGGCATGCAGGAGGCAGTCGATCAATAATTCTTTCATCATTGATGTTTTATCTCTCTCTCCCTCTCCCTTGCTCTCTGAAATCAATAAATATATATTTTACCCTCTCCCCCATAGTGTCTGTGCCCATTGGTTAGGCTTATGTGCATGTATACAAGTCCTTTGGTTGATTTCTCTCTCTTACCCCCCCCTCCCCTACCTTCCCTCTGAGGTTTGACGGTCTGATTGATGTTTCTCTGTCTCTGGATCTGTTTTTGTTCAGGCATGAGTGGGAGGGGGGGGTAGGGGAGGCAATGGGTGGAAAAAGACACATATGTAATACCTTAATCAATAAAGAAAAAAATCAAATATATATGTTTTTAATATATATATTAAAAACAATAAAAAAAAAGAGGGAAAGAAACTGTCTCCTTTTAGAAACACCCATCCCAGTGTTTTGTTTTTCGCCAAGATAAACCAAATCATCTGAATTAGTAAAGGGGGAAAATATCACAGAAAACAGCAATATGAATTTTTAAAAATTTGATGTTAAGCTAAAGGATTTATAATAATTCATTTTAAAGTGAACTTTTTAAAAATGTATTTTTAGTGATTTAAGAGAGGAAGGGAGAGAGAGGGAGAGAGAGAGAGAGAAACATCAATGATGAGAGAGAATCATCGATGGCTGCCTCAGGCACGCCCCCCACCGGGGATTGAGCCTGCAACCCAAGCATGTGCCCTTGACTGGAATCGAACCTGGGACCCTTTCAGTCCCATAGGCCAACGCTTTATCCACTGAGCCAAACCAGCTAGGGCTTAAGGTGAACTTTTGACCTCAATTTTAAACCGAAGTTGCATCAATTTTATTGCATCAATATTCAAAAATGTGATAGGTACTCATCCCCTCACTGCACTGGAAATGAGCTTTCAAAAGGACAGAGTGAGTCCAGTTGGTCACAGATACTGGAAAGTCTCTCCCCGAAATGGCCATAATGATACCACCACCAACAGAGCTTCACTGCATGGAAGCCTGTCTCATTCCTGAATAGTTTTCCTCCTCATTCCAATGAGACCAGAGAAGGGCACAGGTACTGAAGAAAACTAGGGGTCATATTCCATCAGATACAGAGACCACATTGTACCTCCCCAGGCAAAGAAACTGTCTCAACATTCAAATACACAAATTGCCCTGCAGGTGTGGCTCAGTGGTTGAGCATCGACCCAGGAACCAAGAGGTCATGGGTTCAATTTCTGATCAGGGCACATGCCCAGGTTGCAGGCTCCATTCCCAGTAGGGGGTGTGCAGGAGGCAGCCAATCAATGATGTTCCTCTCTCATCTATGTTTCTATCTCTCTATCCCTCTCCCTTCCTCTCTCTCTAAAAATAAATAAAAACATATTTAAAAAAATAATGAAAAATCAAATACAAAAATAAACTAAAAACCGTAGTTAAAGCAGAAAACCAGCTATTAAAAAATATTCATCTCACTATCTTGCAAATTTCCAAGAGGTGTATTGAAACCTATTTGAGCTTTATCTGGACCACTGTAAAGTGAAATCCAGCAATTAGTACTTCTCTAGACTATCATTATTATTTTTTTAAGCAAAAACAAAGTTTTACTACAGAAAAGCTCCCTGCTGCAGGGAGAAGACCCAAGCGGGTTGCCCTCTGTCATTCTTAGTGTTATACTATGCCCTGTGTTATCTTATGTCTAAAACCATATTCTCTTCTGCCCTGCAGCACTGAAGAACCAATATATGAAAGGGAATATAAATCTCTATTCAAGCCACAAATATCACCAATATTAGACAGTGGAAATCTCTAAATAATGGAAAAATAATGTTAGATTATAAATAAGAGAATGTGGATAAGTGTTAAATGAGTATGTTAAAATAATGTATACAGTTAAGGCTATAAAATTGTCTGATTTCATTTAACTGAAATATGGTATATTTATTAGGTTCCAACCTTTGATTAAGGAAATTATTTTTTAAACACAAAGAAGTTGAAGGATTAGTACAATGAATACCCATGTATCCTCCATTTAGATCTGACCACTGTTAGCATCTTTAATTTTTGTTTTATCTAACTATGCATTTGTGCAAATATCTACATATATAAAAGCCCAGCAACCAGAACGACCAGAACGACCAGAACGACCAGAACGACCAGAGGCTATGACAAGCACTGCAGCATCCAACCAGCCTGATCTGGGCCCCAATCAACCCCTGCCCCGGCCCCCAATCGGCCCCCAACACCCTGACTGGGGATGGGGACAGCCAGCCAACCGCCAACGGCCCCTCCCTCCCATCGGCCCTGCCCGATGAGCCCCCATTGGGGCAGGCCAGCCAGACCCCACCTGTGCACGAATTTGTGCACCAGGCCTCTAGTTGTAACATAATTATCAAGATTTTTCAGTGAGTTCTAACTCCAAACATCCTTCTCAGCTCCATCTCCCACAAGTTTCCTTAACAAACACTATCCCCCATTTGGAGAAAACTACATCCATAGTAGAATGGATTTCCCATCTGAGCATCTCACTGTTCTCTCTGCTATCAGTCCTGTTCCCACTAGTTTCTTTTTACACGAACATTTCTCTAGTTTCTCCAAGTACATTCTTTTTTTCAAGACAAATAGCAAATGAAATCCCATGCAAGAAACCTTCTTTGTTTCTTCCACAAGCCCTTTCAGAGTAACTCTCCTTGCTTTGCCATCCCCTACCGTGATGTAATTTTGCAAACACTGCTTAGTGCTCTCTAGGATAAAGGCATTTCCTTGTTCATCTGTATAACGCTTGCAGCAATTTCTATAGGCTATACAAGATACTCCATAAATAACTGTTAGATATCTAGTGTGTGTTTTTTATTCCAATTTGATGTTTCAAGAAAAAGTTAAATTACGAAGAGTGTTTTACCCTATTATAATTCTTTTCATGTGATAATCCAACTCATGTTCTCAAAAAAAAAACACACAAAAGTTGATTGCTTAGTTTACTGAAGTACACTTAGGATGCGTAAAGCAATCTTTGAAAACTGTAAAATGTACTTACCTTCTCGTTATTGTAATAAGAAATGCTAAAGCCATCAAATTTCACCCATCTCTTCTGAAACATGCGTTTTCTGTAAAACATATGAAATTGTTATTTTACATTTAAGTACCATGAACTGGAATTTTAAAGATGTTTGTAATGTGACTGCACTTGCTGTTAATGCAGAAAACAATAGGCTACAACAATGCACAGTTTGGCAATTGTACACAAAGAGAAAAATATGTGTGATGGCACTTTCTAATCACCTATATAGGAGTCTAAAACAATGACACTGTTAACAGTGTTGTCACCCACATTTGTGAGGTTGAGTGCAAAACAAAGTACTGTCAGACACCCTATCAGCATACCCATCCCCCTTCATGAAGATAACAGAACTTCTCATCCCTCATTAAGCTTAAAACATTTATTTTACCTCCATTTCTGCTTTAGAGAATGAATAATATTTTGCTAAAATAATAAAGTGTTGTCAATTGGGTTTTATACAGATAAACTAATTATGATCTAATAAGCTGAAAAAGCCCTGTCCACATAGAGAATCATTTACAATCATCCAAAATTCATGAACATGTTTTGAAAAAGAATAATATGAAAGGCAACTGCCATTTAAAACGGATACTGAGATGAGAAACAAAGCAAAATAACGGGATCACGGGTTTCCAAGTGAAGCTTAAAAAAGAAAAAACCTTTTTCTGGCTACAAGGGAAAAGTAAAAAACCATTTCTGCGTGGTCTTTTTTCTGTTCTGTCTCGTTTCAGTCTCCTTTCCTGAAGACAGACAATCCTAAAGGTTTTGAAGATCCTACTTTCTACGTGACCTCTCAGTGTGGACTGACACAATCCAGATACTTTTAGCCTTTAACACAGATATGAAAACTAACTTTTTGAAAAAAATTCACCTACACAAAGACAGAAAAACCACTGTCTATCTTTTCCTTTTGCACTGTTCTGGCATGTTTAAGATAAGGAATTGGCATGACTTTCTGTGGTTTTCAGAAGATTTAAAGATAGAAAAAAAAAACCTCAGAAATGTGTAGAAAATTTTCCTTCCGGGCTTTTCCCTGAGTACCACACATCTATTATACTGCAAGCCTCCCACACTCATCCTTAGCCAATTTATTCCGCTTAAAATAAAATTAGAGAAAATCGGATCAAATGGAGAAAAGTTTCAAAGTTCATCAGTGCAGACAACATTTTCGCATATAAGCACCGAATTATGACATAATAAGAACATGTAAAGACCTTACGATCATAGAACTACAACTAACTATCCAACCCTCTTTCTACCTTATTCCCTCTTCTTTCGGTTTCTTAACTTCTAATGATTTGCAATTGGTTTTCTTAACATTGCAACATACAACAGGTTTTCACTTCTTTCAATAACCCAAGAGTTCTTCAAATTCCCAGCATTAAAATTAAAAAGAACATTAAGCAAACACACAATAATAATACACTGAACAAAATCACTGCGCATTCCTTTCATGCTGATCTGTCATACTTAAAGGCAGGTAAATACACATCTTCCCATAGGACTCCACAGTAATTCTGTAAAACAAGATTTGTTTGAGCCCCACCTGCCTTACATTGAGAATGGTGGTAAAATAAAGCTCAGTAACGTAAAATAATCTGTTTTATTATAAAAGTAATCAACATTTATGGCGATAAAGGCCTTAGAACCTTCCACTATCGCTCCATTCCCTTTGCTAACTACTCCTTATCTTTCAGAATTTCACCTATACCGCCTACACAGACATTCCTCCCCTGATACGCCAATTCAGAGCAGATCACAAAATTATTCCCTCTCTTTTTCCTCATAGCTCTGAATACAATCTCCCATTATAAATATATATTTGTCTACATGCTTAACGTCTTTTCTCCTGGTAACACCAGCCCTTATGTGTTACAAGGACAAAGTTCAAGAACGTTTCATTCTCTACTGTATGACTAGCAACTAACCCAGAGAGAAATAGGGCACTAAAAAAAAAAAAAAAAGAATCTGTGGAATGAATGAGTGACATGATTATGTGGCTGGCTCCTATCTGTGAGATCTCAGCTTGAAAGTCACTCCCTCTGAGTAGCCATCCCTGCCAGCAGATGGATCCTTCAGGTCCCCTGGGTCTCCTGCTCCATTTCTTGAATCAGACTTCACAATTTATAATTATATGTCTATTTTGCTTTATCCATCTCCCATGATAGATCTTTGATACTTGAATATAGAAAAGATTTGTTTTGTTTATCAATGTAAAACTAACAATTGCCACAGTTCCTAGCATATAAAATGTGCTTAATAAATATTTAACAAATATATTTTTCAGTGAAAAATTCCAATTTGCATTTCATATAGAGAAAATAAACATTACTAAAACACTTTACCTTTAATTCCCTTGTTTTTTTCTTTTTCCAAATACTAAAGATCAGGTCATGAAATGACCGTATAAAAGCTCTGTAAAACTAACTCGTTATTAAAGAAAAATTAGACACTACAGAAAACATGAAAAAAATGATCATTTTAATTTCCATGCAATGTTAAAATATATTTTAAACATTTTTAAAATACATTCTTAAAAATGTATTCATTTGGTACTTTCCTATTTAAAATGTAAGTTAGTCAATTTAAGATGTTTCTAAAATGAAATTTATATACATAACCTATTTTGCTCATTAAATGTGTCAACATTCAATTAGCTATTTTCTGCATGTGAACTTTAACAGCAAATTCTAATAACTGGTTAATTAAAGAACTTACACTTAGATCCTTTTTGACATTATTCCCCCCCTTTTTAAAATATATTTTATTGATTTTTACAGAGAGGAAGGGAGAAGGATAGAGAGTTAGAAACATTGATGAGAGAGAAACATTGATCAGCTGCCTCCTACACACCCCCTACTGGGGATGTGCCCGCAACCAAGGCACATGCTCCTGACCGGAATCGAACCTGGGACCCTTCAGTCTATCCACTGCTCTATCCACTGAGCCAAACCGGTTAGGGCCATTATTCCCCTTTTTACCTAATGAAACTTTGATTTGCTAAAACCTACAAATTAATCAAAATTCCAACTAAATATTAAAAGAAATATTTAGAAGGATGTGTTTCTAAATGTCAATGTACAATTTTAAATTAATAAATATATTGGTGAATACTAAAGTTTTAAGAATTATCATTTCTGAGCAATGGTTAAATATTTCTCTCATGTATTTATAAAAGTCTTTTAGACATCAGGTAACTAATTCCACTGGAATTATGTAAAATTAATTTAGTACACACAATTAGAGACTGCTAAAATATTTTAAATATTTTCTCTGATATAAGTTATGCCTTTCCCTTAAATATCTTTTAACAGCTAGTAAGTGTTAAAAATAAAAAAGACAAGGTATGAAATGCAACATCACCAATAATCACACAACACAAATTAGATCTGAAATAATGATGAATTATTACACAGAGATATTAAAGCCTTAGTCAATTAGCAATTTATTTGGCACAATAATCTTAGTAATAAAAAACAACAAACACTTACATAGTGCTTTGTTCTAGGCACTGTTGCAAGCCATACACAACTATTCATTCATTTAATCCTCCAAATAACCAGATAAGAAATATTATTATTCCCATTTTACAGATACAGGCACAGAGGCACTGCTAGGCTTAATAATTTGCCTACATCACACAAGTAAAGAGTAACTGGGAGTCAAACCCAGGCAATCTGTGCTCTTAATCACTACTCAATCCTGACTCTAGCACAGTTTATAGCAAGAAATCCTGAACATCCCTTTAGGCAGCAATAACATTTGACCTCTACCCTTTTATATGTGAGTTTAATTTTACAAAGTCCTTCAGAATTCCTTTAGGAAAAAAGGTAAAGCAGACAAAAAACATATTAGCCTTGGTTTTATCCTCCTTTGTTTTTAGGGTTCTAAAGGGAAACATTTCTTTAAGCAGCTTTTTTAGAATAGTTTCTAAGGCTTGTGCAGTGTTATTGAACGGATTTCTACAAACTCTTCCCTGGAGCTCTGGTAGGGCGGGGGGTGTAAAGTTTCAGCAGCTTTCATAAACAAACACCTTACCACCTGGTGTCAGTTTTTGTTGTCTCAAAATTACGTATCTTAAAATTCTTTTTTAACAACAGTGCATATACAATTAAAACTACATTTATTAAGTGCTCACACAGAGGCACTTCTATTTAATATCACTCCTAAGTGCCAGCAGAATTTTTTAAGATTACATCTGATAGCTTAAAAAGAAAAAAATCCCAAAATCAAACAAGCTTGCTAACCAATGATATCAATCCAAGGTGGCGGAGGCTACCGAACTGTCACCTTCAACTATCACCCAGCTGGAATGAACCTCCAAGGCACTAAGTCAGATGTATGGATTTTATTGCTCATGATTCTTAAGCCATCTCAAAAGTACTTCTCACTCATTCTACAAAATACCTAAGAACAAAGAGATTAATATGCTTTACCAGATTCAGGGGCCTTGTTTACATAATCCTATAGCATTATGTGCACACTGTATCGTATTCTCTGCTCTAACCCTAACTAGACTCAGTATGTTTTGAAACTCCTATAATTCCCCAAAATATAGACTTTTATTGATCTATTCACTCATTTTTACTTAGCTAATTATTATTTTACCTAATTATTCTTTTAAGGATGAGGCTTTTAATAGTGCAGTATTAGTTATAAAGTATTTTATAGATAGAAATCCAAGGAGTTATTATATTTCTCTAAAACACCAGCACTTTTCTATTCTAAAATGCATTTCCTCACTTTTAAGCAAACCCAAATGAGAGTTTCTAAGATTATATAAGCCAAAACGAATTGGGGCTAATAAAACATGGATATGTGCTAAAAGGACCCTGGAAAGTCCATGAAAAAGCATGAACATGTGTGTGTGAATACCAATTTTTACAATATTTACAAAGAATTTAGTGTTTACATGATATGGCATATGAAAAGCTATGTTAAAAGATTCACACTTCTTTATTTTATGGCGTCATACTCTATTTTTTAAAAAAAAAACAACATTTAACCAGTTTCTAGTTAAGACGATCACTTAAAAGCTTGTTTACC